AAGCAGGGCAGGATTGTTCGGAAGCCGGTTAACGCTTGCCCAGGATTAAAAGTTAACCGAATTATAACTTTTTCTTCTATACAAATGTTTTTTGCTGCTTTGTTTTGTGTATGTGGTGATTATTAAAACTCAAAACAGAAGGCCAAACAATATACAGAAAGCCTCACAGCAAAGTTACAAAACTCAAATCAAAATTCTACCTTTTCCTGGGTTAGCGTAATCGGGCTCTTAACAAGCTGGCCCAGGAGCTTCGCTTTTAGGCTGGCCTAAATCTATATATTACGGGCTTAGGCTTCTTCATTTGCGTTATGATATAGAGGTAATGTGGAGAAAAACACTAAAACACGCTTTTTCTATGTTTTATATTCTGATAAAACATGGGTTTTCGACCAATCAGAGCGCGCGCAGGGTTCTATCTAGTAATGGATCATACACCACTCGTGAAATTCATACGAAACTACATCCGGGACCCAAGTGGCGTATTTTTCATATCCTCACTAGTGAATATATTGACGACGTCATTTTCCGCTTTTTCACAGTTGTCTGTGCTGCACTCTCGTTCGTAAAATATTGTTCAGTTTACCGCTGGAAAATAATATTCATATTTTCGCACCGCCGTGTAATATCCACTCTCAAGAGGCTATGGTCATAATGTCTTGCCGCTTTTTATTTACTTAATCTGATAAATAACTGTGTTTCACTTGTCCGCTGATACAGATCAACTGTTTTCTTGGAAACTAGTACTCTTGTCACAAATACCTTTGCTATAGGTTAGAAATACAAGTTCTTAGCTGTGTAACTAAAGGCCATTTCAAACAACAAAGCAAATCCGAAGAACTCGTTCATTATTCTAAAGCTTCGTTAGACCTCATCAGCCATGACAGAAATCTAGAGTAACTGGGAAGTTTTTCTTCACAGCTCCTTCAGCTCAAAAGCACCGCCACATGGCTGCACTTCAATCATCCCCACTATGCCAACATTTGCATCGCTTACAGCTGGAAAAATCACATTCAGCTTTCTTTGGAACCGCTCTCTAAACTGCAGATTTAATGGAACAACAAAATTCATTGAAAAAAAAAAAGAAAGAAAGAAAAAGGCGAGTCTGTTATTGTCCGTCTCAGCGGTATTGTGTGGTTAGCCGATCCACAAACTGGTTGGATTTCTTCCCAGTGTCCAGAGGTCGAAACTGGTCTTTCCCTTGTTAGCCCAAGCCGAGTGCGAATATTGTTATTGATCTTCGCAGTTATTCCTAGGGTCTCGACTGGTTTCTCTGACATGTTGGGATATACCGGCGACTGAGAGAAAACAAATGAAGGTAATTGCCAGTTTTCTAGACGTGTATCCTATTTTAAGTTTGTTTTCTCTCTAGCTGCGTCTCGACTGGTTTCTCCGAGATGCTGGGACTTATCGGCGACTGACAGAAAACAAATGAAGGTAATTGCCAGTTTTCTAGACGCGTATCCTATTTTGAGTTTCGGAACGTAATGATTGGTCTTCCTGATTGTCGTCAGAGTGCTCTTACCTGGTTGTTTTTNAAAAATGTAGATGAAAGCTTTGTGCAATGGCGTCAGAAGACCAAACAACCACGTGATCCCAAGCAAAGGACTCATCACCAGGCACGCTCTGACGCTAAGTCTGCAAAAATGATAGTTATAACATGAGTTGATGATATGTAGACGCTTCACAAATTTCCGTTTTCCCTGCATTGAGTACCTATATGAAATAAAAAAAAAATATATTCCAATAATTTTAGTATATAATGCAACCGTTGTTATTTATTCAATAAATATTATTCAGTAAATAGGCAACTGGTTTGCCTCCGGCCGGTTGGGATTCTTAACAATGTTATGCTCAATTTGAATTATTTGTTTCAGTTGTTTGCTCGGCCCATACAGGGGACTGGTTATGAAGCCGGCAAACATCAAAGGAGCAAACAAAGATCCCAAGATTTATATTTGAAGGTCCACGTCCGCGCAAAATCTTTTGTTTTGCGCTCATAAACTATGCATGAATTACGTAACCGAAACGTTAACCAATAATCTTGTTGTTAGATTCTAAAAACTGTTTTCTTTTTTCGGGAAAGTGTTCCTTCCTACCTTATCTGATGATTATGCCTCTCTCCCGCTGTGGGCTGCATTGTGTTCATTTCCTTTATGACACGCACTAGTATCAACAAGTTGAACTTAAAAATGAAAACAAGAAATGTGTGTTGAAACCTTAAAGGACCCTGGTCAGCCTCTGCAATTTTCGATGCCATCGAATTATTGATCTTGCATGGTGAGACGAAATCTTATTGCTTTACTTTAAGTTGTGTTCCTGTATGTTTAAGGTTACTGAAGACATTCAGGGGTGCCTTCCGGAAAATGCTTTCTTTACGCGCTGCTTTAAAGAAAACCACGGTAAACTATATGTCATTGTAAAGCTAACAAACTGTAGAATCCGAAAATAATATATTTTGCAAGTGTAAAAACGCAAAACTGACCGTACTTGCTAAACTGAATTACCAGCCTTTGTGTCACCGCGGACATACAAACTGACTAGACATTATCAATCAGGAGAGACGGGCTAATAAAGTATGTGAGGCTTTTTCGATATTTCTATTGGTTGCTTAGGTTGGACAATAGAAAATTTTCTGACTGCTGCTACTCAATGGAAAAATATCACAGGAAAAATATTTCGATTTTCGTAAAAGCCTCACACACTTTGGTCCGCTAATATCTGACGAAGATTTTAGCCAAGTTTCGTTAAAATCCACTAAATCTACATACCCTATCAATTCAGTTGAATAAAGTTAATTTACGCAAAGATAAACCTTGAGTTTCGGCCTCGAAAGAAATTCACAGTTTTCGCACCTCACTGAAGCGGTTGTCAACGTGGCCATGCCGCCAACCAATGAAACGCAGCTTTGAACTCCCCTGTGGGCTACAATAACGCTTCCCGGGAATGAATGTGCAATGCTTATATTATCTTTAGTAGTTTCAAAGTGATTTCCTTCGTTTTGGGATGCTCCGAATAAAATATAATCAGAACCAAACTCTCCGCATGTAAACAAAAACAAAGGAGTGGCTGATGACTAGCGCCCTTTCAGTCTTTGCTTAAGTTTTAAGAGCAAAACTCCATAAATAAGGCGTGTGTTGAGGAAAATCACTTATTCTACACTGAGAAACTTCATCATTTATTGAACTTTACTACCATAGACTGTACTCTTTTCACTTTCTTTATTTGGGAAACCTGCGGAAATGAACAAACGACCAAGTAACAGCGAAAGCTAACATCTCGTTTTACTTACGATTTCAATCACCATCACGACTGTGACAAATATCCAAATCAGATTGTTATTCGAAGAAATCCAGCAGCTTAAACAAAAGTAAAAAAAAAATTCCTCATATCAATAATCGATAGTAGCCACTTTGCTCGGTAGAATCGCACGTTCTGAAAACAGAGTTCGAAGAAGGGGAGGAGAGGGAGGTGCTTACTATTTATTATCCACGAAACTGTGAATTCCATCTTTTCCCGAAGCAATACTCAGAGACACGGGGACAATGACAGCGGGAAGACCTGCAGCACAAGCATATAAACAGGCATCGATTACAAGGGTGTACCACAACAGACACTTCACCTAAAAAGTCTTTCAAGGACTTACCCCATGACATCACGTGATAGATGCGTATCTTGTTTTCGATGTTGTAAACCTTTACAACAAGCAAGTAAAGGTGGAATCCCTCAACGAGCATCCAACAGAAAGCTGCCATCAGAAAGTATTGCAGAAGAGCGGCTACTGTAACACAAGCACTCTGTGAAGTAGCGTATAGTAAATTAGTTACCGATAGTTGTATTTAGATCACGCTTCGTAATGTCTGCTGACTTTAAGACATTAGCCACCACTCTCTCGACATTAAACGGGGTTCTCACCGTGTTTTCTGTGGCTCCAATTCCGGCAAGAAATATTATCTGTCCAGCTCCGAGGGATCCGGCCAGGCTCATTCTGATTTGAGGTAAAGGCTGATGCACATCACTGATAGAAAAAAGCAAAACAAAGTTTCAAATCTAAATCATTTAAAATGTAACAACTGGGCATATTCTATGTATATCTCTGTCATTAGTGTATTTCGTGTGTTAATTAAAACTGTTGCCTCATTTTAGTAGAAACTCCCGCGTCTGACAGGAAAAGATAGTAAATAAATAGATAATTTAAAAACAAAAAACTGGGACTCTCTATTGAATCCGTGTGGTTCGGGTATGCTCCGATAATCCAAAGTAGCTACGAAGGCCGTAAAAAGACACATATGCATAGGAGATCAATCAAGGAAGCCGTTTTATGAATCAAAAGGTGCAGGGGCCTTGTCTTACCCGAACTTGATTGCAAAACTTGGACAAAGTCGGGTTGAATCCACACAATTTCCGAGCAAAAGAGAGACTGCTCGCTGTCTAGCCCGTCATTGTCATGTAAACAGCCCGTATCTTTGTATCTTTTAGAGGTGATTTATTTAATATTGTAATACTTACGTGACAAGTACGTATGATATTATCGTCAGAGTTACTCCCGTTATGGACAGAGCTGATCCCACGTAAGTAAGAATCCTCAATATCTTCTCATCCGTCTTTGTGAGCTGTCAGTTTATAAAGGAAAAAAGAAAAAGGGAAAAAAAATATATTCCAGAGATCACCTCAGCACCCAGTCGAATCCAAAGGCAGAGTACACCTTACCCCACTGTTGGCATCGCTATAGTCGAATAAAACAGCGAAATGAGTCATGTGATTACAGCTGCATTCCGTTTCTTCTGCATTGCTCGTCGATTTCACTGTATGACATCCTTCCCTGGACCATCCGTCNTTATTATCTCCTGCTGTTGGCTGCATTGTGGTGATTTCCTTTACGACCCGAACTAATATCAACAAGTTGAGCTAAAGAAAAAAAAAAAAAACAGAACATGGGCTTTGGCTTAAGTTTTATGAATGAATCTCTATATACGGCATCTGTTTAAGGAATATCACGACCTCTACCGAGAACGTCATTATCTATTGAACTTTATTACAATGATTCGATGCATTTCTAGTCAAGAAGACTAACTAGGCGGTCGTTTTACTTACGGTTTCAATCCCCAACACGATTGCGACAAACATCCAAATCACACTATTATGCGAAGACATCCAGCAGCTTAAAGCAAAAGTAAAACTATAACAATTGATACATACTAGGACCTCGATTTCTGAAATCGTGACAGAATGCAGCAAATAAAAGAGGAGCAACGGAAACGTTAGCAAAGCGCTTACTAATCATCATCGACAAAACTATGGATTCCATCTTTTCCTGCAGCAATGCTCAACGATATGGCGACAATGACAGCGGGAAAACCTGCGGTAGAAACATATTTAGGGAAACATTTCAAGAGTGTAGCAGAACAGACACTGCAGCTAAAAGGGGCTCAAGAACTTACCCCACGACATCACGTGATACATGCGCATGTTGTTTTCGATGTTGTAAACCTTTACAACCAGCAAGTAAAGGTAGATTCCCTCGACGAGCATCCAACAGAAAGCTGCCATCAGAAAGTACTGCAGAAGAGCGGCTACTGTAACACAAGCACCCTGTAATGCAGCGCAGTACATTAGATATTGATATAGTAGCTAATAGTGTACATTGAGTGGTCGCTTCACGGTATTTACATCCTCTCTCAGCTTAGCCACCACTCTAACCTCTAACTCTGACATTCCAAAGGTTTCTTACCATGTTTTCTGTGGCTCCAATTCCGGAAAGAAATAGTATCTGTCCAGTTCCGAGGGATGCAGCCAGACTCATTCTGATTTGGGATAGAGGCTGATGCACATCGCTGAGTCCGAAAGAAAAGCAAAACAAAACGCCAAATGTGAATAATATAAAAGCTTACTGTTAGACCTCCATTACCATGGGTGATGAGGCCTTTTCTCTCAGGACAAATAAGCCAAAAGGCAAACCGCGTGAAAACTTGTGGGTGTGGGAAGGGGGAGGGGCTCAATTTCTAATGGCAAAACATTTATACCACTCTTCCAAATTGTGTTTTTCAATATTGTGAAACTTTTCCATTAGTAATTCCCAAAGTTTTGCATTATTTTGAGTTAACCGTTTCAGGCACCATGTCTTAGAACACACGATTCCAACACTAGTGCGAAATTAGGCAGAGCCTGGGTGAGTCTAGATATATACATACATACAAACTTTATTGACGCACGCTAAGTGGGTTTTTCAGTTGCAGTATAAACGAAAACTACAAATTGAAATACTATAATAGCAATAAATACATTCAGAAATGCTATAAAGATTTAAAAATACGGTAAATAAGAAAAGATATGTCATTTACCCTACTAAAATATTACATTCAACTATTTAAAAAATCTGCAAAATGACGCTTGAAGTTTTTAGGGCATATTAAACACTTAAGATTGTGACTTAAAGAGTTGTTTGGCTCCTCTGTAAACGAGAGAGCGCTGACCAGTTGACAAGCGGCAAAAAGATATGGCCAGGCGTATGTCCAGGGTGTTAGACGATCTAGTTTGTCTAGATCATATCTACTCAAGTACTTCAAATGTTAAACATGTAATTCATCTTATTTAGGAACATTCAGACAGTACCTTTGTAAGCGTTCTAGGTATTTGTTTAGTTTTTCTCTTACTCACGTGAGAAGCGCATATGCTATTATAGTCATAGTTACTCCTGTTATGGAGAGAGCTAACCCCACGTAAGTAAGAATCCTCAATATCTTCTCATCCGTCTTTGTGAGCTTCCAGTTTATAAATTAGCAAAAAAGAAAGAAAAAACAAAAACAAAAACAAGATATTACAACATAAAGATTTGACTATCTTTTTGAATATTTCCTCATCCCTGCATAACTCTTAATTGACAATGTAACTAGAATTTAGGCAAAAACCAATTTTGGAATTACAATAGGTGGGCTACCCAATTTGCTTGTAAGTTGAGTATGGGTGGAGGGTCTGTGTCGGAACACGCAAAGACTCGCAGCAGTCAGTAGCTAGGTTATATTTTGAGGCACTCTACTTTTAGAGGGCCTCTATACATTAGGGATTATAAAAGGATACCGGCGAACTGTTGAACGGATAAAGGTGAGTTAAATATGCCATCCAATTACTGCAGTATCAAATCCATGTGGGTGTCTGGAGAACCCGAATAGCAAATAGCGAATAGTCGCGAATAGCGAATAGCGAATAGTCCCGAATAGTGCGGATGGTCTCGAATAGTGCGAATAGTGGCGAACAGTCGTGGAAAGTGGCGAATAGTGACGAATAGTCGTCAATAGTCAACGCTTTATATTTTATATCCTGCGTTGATTAATTATCCTAATAAGTAACAGAATTTCGGTGAATTTATTACCTTTTCTTCTCCGGACTCAGGCTAGGGCTGTTCATCGCCGACATTAAGAGAACAGAAAACACCAGGATAATCTAATAAAGACTTATTTACGCTTTTGCAGTGGTTAAAACAGAAGAAATTACGTTTAGATACACCTTTTGTCGTGATAAGCAGTGATAAGCGTCTGTGCTTTTTAGCGGGAAAATCCCATGCTACGTTGCGGCGAGGTTGTCTGCGAGATACTGGGTACCCTATTTGCTACGATTTGCCACTATTTGCCACTATTCGAGACTGTTCACCACTATTCGCACTATTCGGGACTATTCGCACTATTCGTGTTATTCGCTATTCGCTATTCGGGTTTTCCAGACACCCAATCCATGTCGCTTCGATCAGTGACGACAACTTCTTGCAGTGGAGACCACCTCAGAACCCAACTACAGATTGCTACAAAAATTACCGAACCGCGGATAGAACTCGAATTTTTGTACATCGACCACTCCTACTTTTTTGTTGTTGACCCGCCCACATTCTTGGTGACGTGCTGTTGTGAGTTGACTGGAAGGTGGAGTGTTCGAGGTATAAAAATTCCAGCCCATTCCATGGTTCGGTGATTTTCGTAGTACACCTTACCCCACTGTTGGCATCGCTATGGTCAAATAAAACAGCAAAGTGAGTCAAATGGTTGCAACTGCATTCCGTTTCTTCTACATTGCTTCTCGATTTCACAGCATGACATCCTTCCCTGGACCATCCGTCAGGGCTTCAAGGAAACAGACTTAGATTTTAGAACTTTTTATTGTTTTGTACTATTTACATATTTTTATAACAATCAATACAGAAACACAGAAACACAAATTACAATAAACGGAAATTAAAATGCGCGTGATGACCAAAGTAGCTAATAAGGCTTTCGGGTCGGTCACTGGCACGTTAAGTTAACTGGCGTAGATAATAAGCATATATAACTACATGAGGAAAAAAAAATCAGTACAAAGTGTATTATGTAAATTACGGTAAGCAACGTGTTACGTTATCTTACTAAGCCGAATTTCCACAACTGGAAAGGAAAGAAAAGATAACACGATATTTTGATTCCTTCTTTCTTGAGGAGAATAAGTGAACTTATCGCTTATAAACGACAATCTTACTGCTCACACTGAGCCCTTGTTGCCGCTAATCATAGACGCGAAATCGGGCAGCGTTGTCCAGCAACAATGTACCACGTAAATCTTTACTTAAAAATTGTCACTTGATACTCACCTTCTTTCCCCGAAGCCAGTCCAAAACACACAGACTCTCTTGCCGTCTGGAACCTGCTTAGAACAGATTTAATTTCAAACCTTTTTTTAACTCAGTGGCTGCAAAACGACCATAGAGCATTTGTTTCTGTGGTTACCTTCAGGTGCCTGAAACTCAGGGTGACGTTCTCCATTAATTTTCCCGGCTTTGGATTCATCGTGATTGCCACTATTTTGGTACCGAGTCGCCTACATAGAATATAAAAATGAAAATCTAAGTTGACCAATCGACTTCTCGTAATTTTGAAGCAGCAGATTCATGTACATGTAGTAGTTTAACTTATACACAGGTTTTGCAAGCTATTCCTCGGGCGTGCATGGTTATACGTTCTTGCGAATCACTGTAAATTTTATGAGTTTATATGAAATGTACATGTCTGTACGGAAAATAAATACAATAGAAAATGACCTCCTCTCGCTACGCGTGTGCTGTTGAATTTTTGAGCCTTTGAAAGCGATTTCCGCGTATTTTAGCCTTACAGTCTGATCACTCTTGAAACTCCGCGTAACTACGCAATCACTCGTCGAATAGCAATAATTTTAAGGCCCGTTTACACAGGATTTTTATGGCGCAATTCAATACAATTTATTTCGCGTCGAAACTGCAAATTCAAAATCGCGCGTAAAAAAAACCAAAAAACAAAACAACAAAAAAAAACAGCTGTGATTTCAGTGTGATTCTAAAGAGATTTGGAATTTCGATCGTGATCAAAACCTGATGCAATTTTGCGGCGAATTCTGATGAGAAAAGTGACAATCATCAACAAGGAGGGACCCCTCGGGATGTTTTTTTTAAGAATACATTCTTTTGTGAGTTTGAGTTGTGCCAAATTACTAACACCAGTAATTACTAGAGGAACTACAAACAAACTGAAAACTTAAGCTATGGAGGAAATTCAGATAAACCCCGAAAGGCAGCCGATAAATCGCATTATAATTGCATCGAACTCGCAATTGGTTTACACTTGCAATGCCTGCTCTCTGACTTGTTACCTGGAGTTGTCATGTCCATCTCTATTGGAATGATTAGCTACAAATAACGCGTGAAGTTCGTTGTACGCAATACCAACTACGACCGTCTCTAGATTAAAACAAAAAGAACGTTACATTACAAAAATGGACGATGAAGACTATCCAGGTACGCATAGTTTAAATGCCGTAATATGTTGAAGGTGACTTGAGCCAGACAACATATCGTACGCAACAGCACAATACAAGGATAAAGATCATTTGGGTAGAAACGCTCCTATTTTTGCAACGTTTTCAGGTAAATGTAGAAAAGACTAACTAGACAAACCGTTGTCATTGAAATTAGCGTGGGGAACTTCGATAAATGCTTCTCTTTTAGGTTCCTCAAAAAGAAAGTCGTTCGCATTTCGACGTGAGCCTCGCCGAATAGCAAAAGCTGTAAGGTAAGGTGGACATGAAATTTAATAACGTTTGTACTACAATTCGATTACAGTTATACAGATTGAAATCAATGAATGAAAATCGATGACTGAAAGGTACATGAATGACTGAGTGAGTGACTGATGGATTGAGGGAAACGCAGATTGACTGACTGACGGACTGACTAGCTGGGCGACTATTTGTTGCTTGCCTCTTGCTTGCTTGCTTGATCGATCGATCGATCGATTGATCGACCGATTGATGGATTGATTGATTGATGGATTGATTGATTGACTGATTGGGTGAGTGAGTGATTGATTGAGGTTGCGATCATTAACCATGGGAGTAGCTGCGAACGTAGACAAAAAAATTGACGTGACTACTCACCAAGGCTGTTGGAAACGANAAAGCATTCGCCCCTTCCACAGATATCCCAAGTTCATAGCATAGCGGCCTTTATACGATCTTCAGTGAGAAACAGCGTATAAATAAAGAAGTTTATATGTGACTGTAACAAACGTATTCGATTGCTGTAAATACGGAAAAGAAAGACAACAAAGACGCCTTTCCTCACTTCATGTGTGCATCTATTAGGTTGCTGTTGCGTTTTTTCACTTTTTTTTAAAGTGATATTCACGAGACTCGACGGTTTTAGCTTCACTGATTTTCCTCTAATTTCCGCGGCCTCCTTGAAGAATTTCGACAAGCCCTTGCCTAAAAATGCGTAATTATAGAAAAGCAAGAACTCCCAGATGACTTGTTACCTGGAGTTGCTATGTCCATGGCTATTGGAGTGATTTTTTACAAGTAACTCGTGAAGATCTTTATAAGCAATACCAACCACGACCGTTTCTAGATTGAAATAAAAAGAATATTACATTACAAAAATGAGCTATTGAGACTTAAATTATTCCAATATAGTTCCAATATTTTGAAAAACAGCTCAACTAAAGAAGGGGAAACTATAAAATAAGTGGAAACGCCTCTAACTTGCAAAGTTGTTTTCTCCTAAAGGTAGAAGAAGGAATAAAATATCAGGGTGGGTTTTTTATGGACAGTTCTCCCCACAAACCATTTTTGTAGAAATTAGTTGAAGAAACTTTCATAGAGGCTTGTCTTTCAGGTTCTTCAAGAAGAAAGTCACGGTAGCCTCGCCGAATAGCCAAAGCTGTAAGGTAACATGGATATGAAATTTTTCAGTGAGTTTTGTTCTAATATAGAGCGGTTTTCAATTGAGTGTCGTAAAACCAAAGCCAAAGTAATCACTCTAGCCAATCATAAGCAACTTGAAGCAATTACATGTAGCTGGCGCAAAGCGCGGGAAAACGTGTGCGAGTTAGTCTTGATTGGTTTTGGTTTTACTTCTGATTGGATGAAAAAGTGGCGCGAGTTTTTTAAGCCAATCGTCCAGCGTGGTAAACGCAAAACCAGTTACTTTTTGACACTCAATTGCAAACCACTCTAAGCATGTATATAAATTACAGTTATACAGATTGATATAAATGGATTGATTCACCCACTGACCAACCGTCCGACTGACCGACCAACCAACCGAGTAACCGACTATCTATAGCTGACTGACTGATTGCGCATGCCTTTATCTTCCTTGCCTGCTTGATCTATCGATCGATTAAGGGATGGATGGACGAACGGACCGACGGACGGACGGACGGACAGATGGATGGATTGAATGATTGATTGGCTGATTGGCTGATTGATTCATTGATTGATTGGCTGATTGATTGAGGCTATGTTCATTAACCATGCCTCACCGTGACAATCGAATTACGAGCAAAATGACATGTCCACTCACCAAGGCTGGTAGAAACGACATCTATCTTTGGCGTTGACTCGCTGAGGTAGTGATGGCTATAGTTTAGCACAAATCCCTCAAAGCTATCTGCTATTTTAAAGATAGATTCTTTTCGTTCTTGAACATCCTCAGAATCTATGTTTCTGCAGAGCTTGGTAATGTTTTGAAATAAACCAAGAGCCTCCTGAAAATGCGGAGAAAGACATTTGGTGTTATTTTTATTACGTATAAGGAAACGGGCAATCCACTACACGGAACAGCTAACTCCTACATGATTTCAGTAATTTACTTAGTATACGCTAGATTAGTCAAGAAAGAATAGGTACCTGTAAGGAAGTGTTTTGCCGAACATCTAATCTGTCCAATTCAGAAATGAATTTAATGGCCTGAGTGAAGAAAATGATGTCAGTTTCGTGACCTCCTCTGGGGGTTGAATTTTGTGAAAAATAATAAGATGGGCGTAGAATGGTGTAAAGGACCAACAGTCCGCATTAGTCCACAGCTGTTAGAATTAACAGCTGTGTTACATACTTACCAAAGTTGCTGTAGATTCTATTGTCTCTGAGAAAAATGAAAATCAAACGTAAGTCCTAACCTCAGCATTTGATTACTAACTAATGTGCTCAGTACAAAGAAGGCAGCAAGTCAAATCACCAGCACTTTCATTACCACTTTCATTACCACAGGAGCGAAGAATTTTGCGAACAACGGTACTCTGTAACTCATACACGTAGTAGGAACTGCAGTTCTTCACTTTAATTAAGTGACTCCCAAGACAGCAGAAATTTTTGCCNTAGCACAAATCCCTCAAAGCTATCTGCTATTTTAAAGATAGATTCTTTTCGTTCTTGAACATCCTCAGAATCTATGTTTCTGCAGAGCTTGGTAATGTTTTGAAATAAGCCAAGAGCCTCCTGAAAACGCGGTGAAAGACATTTGGTGTTATTTTTATTACGTATAAGGAAACGGCCAATCCACTACTCGGCACAGCTAACTCCTCCATGATTTCAGTAATTTACTTAGCTTAGTACACGCTAGATTAGTCAAAGAAAGAATAGGTACCTGTAAGGAGGTGTTTTGCCGAACATCTAATCTTTCCAATTCAGAAATGAATTTAATGGCCTGAGTGAAGAAAATGATGTCAGTTTCATGACCTCCTCTAGGGGTTGAATTTTGTGAAAAATAATAAGATGGGCGTAGACTGGTGTAAAGGACCAACAGTCCGCATTAGTCCACAGCTGTTAGAATTAACAGCTGTACTACATACTTACCAAGGTTGCTGTAGATTCTATTGTTTCGGGAAAAAAAAAAAAAATGAAAATCAAACGTTAGTCCTAACCTCAACATTTGAATACTTACTAATGTGATATACAAAGAAGGCACCAAGTCAACTTACCACACGAGCGAAGAATTTTGCCAACAACGGTACTCTGTAACTCATACACGTAATAGGAACTGCAGTTCTTCACTTTAATTAAGTGACTCCTAGGACAGCAAAATCTATTGCCACTGAAACAGACTTTACGGGTCACTGCACCTTCTGTGACTGACGGGTGCCCACCTTCAAGCCAACCTGAGTAGTCAGTACCGCATCGTCCCTTAACACATGTGTCTGCTATCCGATCCCTGTCAGCTCCTTGGAAACGGTACCAACCAGTTACCAGGTCCTTCTTAGGCCATCTTCCTTTGTTCTGCCAATGGCGGTCAGCTTCACTTAGAACTGTGTAATTTCTACAGCCATCAACTTTAAATAAAAACATATCATTTAGTTATAGCC